TATATATATATATATGTGTGTGTGTGTGTGTGTGTGTGTGTATATAACTTTTAGATTTAATCACAGTAAGTTATGAGGCCAAGAGGTGGAGTGGTCCTTTTGGCACTGGGCTCCTTCATGGGTGACCAGTTTGCGTCCCAGACCTGGCAGCTCGCTTCCTCACGCTTACTCGCTCTCTGGTGAGTACACATGTTCTATACCAACTTTAAAAATATTCATGAATAAAAATGTTTAAAATCAGTTATGAATTGGAGAAAAAAATTACAACTCCATTTTATTATGCTGTTTAAAATGAGCAACTTTATTGCCACAAGACACATTTGGTGAAGGAATGCCCTGTGTATTATTTACAGAGTTTCTGTATACTAGTGTCCTCTCGTATCTTAACTCCTTATAGTTAACAGAATAATGGCCTGTGAACAAAAAGCTATTTTAGTTATTTTAACAGAATGGAGACTTAGTCTTATTATCCATTTGTCCTATTAAATTTTGACAAATACCAATTTTCCAAACTTTTTTCATTCTACGATTGTTACTCTATAAAACTTTATTTATTTTTGAGAGATTTTTGCTATAGGCCATATGCACTTGCAGGAGACACAGAGACAGAGAAAGAGAAAGTGAGAAACTACCCCCTAGGGGGATGGCCACATCACAATCCTTTCTCCTTTATTCTCCTCTTGGGGTCTTGGGCACGCACGCCTGATGTGAGTTTCAAGCTGCCCAATCTGGGACTCAAACTGTGGTCAATCATGTGGGAATCTAGTACCTTAACCACTACACCACCTGCGGCCCCCAAAGTTTTTATTATTTAGAAATTCGTCATTTTTGACGTGTTCTTATGAAGTGCTACTGTTAATGAACTAATAAGTACACACAGAGAGCTGTCCCTAGAGTGAACCCCCTACCTGGCACCGGCTTTGCCCACTGCCCTCCTGGGCTAGTCCTATTTCATCAAGACCCCCATCCTCTTCACATCCCCAACCAGAGTGTTCCGCTGAAAATTTAGACATAGTTCACCTGAAACTATTTCAGACGTAGGACCTTTTTTCCCCTTACTTAGATGATTTTACCCTATTCCACTGAAATTACCCCATTCTGCATTTATGGTTATGACATGCACCCAACCAACAACGGCCTTCAAACGAGGGACGATGTAACTGCTTGTCAGCAGGACACTGGTGGTTAGCTCTCTGCTGAAGCCAAGCCACAGCAGAATTGTTTCCACTTTTTAATTGTTTTCCATCCAGTTAGGATAAACAAAGTTTCATAAATAAACTGTAATTCTAATATTTGGAAAAGCAGGAGGGAGTTTCACTTTGTTATTACTGTGGCTTTTAGCAAGGCATTTAAGTAGATATCAGTAAGCACAGCATCGTATACGCCACTGTAACAGAGAGAGCAGGCAGCACAGTACGGGCTACTGGAAAGCGGACCGCGTGCAAACCATCGTACCACGCACATGGGAACAAGTGATGGTGGCTTGATTCTGGTGTAAACAGAAGTCGCACTGTCCTGTGTCCCAGAGCTCAGGCAGCACATACCTGCTCTTAAACTGGCAGGAAGTTTAAATGCAACACTACAGCAAAGTAACTTCACATTTCTAACAGAAGGAGTCTCTGGAGAATCCTTTGTTTTCTATCATTCATATTTCTATTTTAATTTTCCCATTTTGCATGGATTTTCTGTATATGTCAATGCTGACTCAAATCCTTTTGTATTATTAAACAGAGTACACATTACTATGGCATATATGAAACAAACGGTACCATTTTCTGCGTTATGAAAGGCCCAACGTTCCTTAGAACTGAGCGCTCCAAGTCTCCTGAAGGGGCTCCCACCACAGAAGACTGCACTGATAGCAGTCCCCTTGGGCAAGAGAGGAGGCCTTTGAGCCAGCGACAACCCAGAGAGCGACACGCGACAAAGCCCATGGCCTTGCTGCCTCACCCCACTCCCTCCTGCCCGGGGAAGAAGACAGAGCTCCCCTCCCATCCGAGCGTGTGAGAAGCAGGCCCCACGTGGCTCCCCGGCTCCCGTCCCAGTGTGTGAGAAGCAGGCCCCAAGTGGCCCCCCAGCTCCCGTCAGAGCATGTGAGAAGCAGGCCCCACCTGGCTCCACCGCTGCCACCTCCCCGGGACTCCTGCCTGCCCCAGGACTCCCGCTCACGGCGGGCTGCACTCACCCCACACTTGTGCAGGCAGTGCCAAGCTTGTGGGCGGGTGGGGCTAGGTGAGCACCTACTTCCCCTCTGCCTTGCCTGGTAACAAAGCTGAGTTTTCAGTCGCCAAAACCTGATCCCCAAGGCTATCTCTTCACTGGTAAGAACTTGAGCAGGAAAAGCAAGTGTAACTTACTGACCTTCTCAAACCCTAACACCACTTTTAGCAGCTACTCCATGCCAGACACCACGTCAAGCACATAGCTCAAAAGGAGGTACAAAGAACATGACAATAAAATTAAATTCCTCTATAAAGCCAGATTCCTAGGAAACAAACTCAGTACAAAAAGCAAGCTAAATCGGGAACCAGCAGTTAGCGTAATGGCTATGTTGCTGGACTCCCACACAGTCGACCGCAGTTCGCGTCCCGGACCCGGTGGCTTAAAACTCCCGCCGGGCACGTGTGTGTGCGTGCCCAAGATCCCAAGAGGAGAATGGAGGAGAAGGGATTGCGGCGTGACCATCCCCCCGGGGGGTGATTTCTCACTTTCTGTCTCTATGTCTCTGTCTGTCTGGCGAGCGCACGTGCCCTATAGTGAAAACCTCTCCAAACAAACAAAACAAAAAAAAGCAAGCTAAATCAAGAGGTTCATTTTTGGTAAAGAATTGTACTTAATAAAGCCATGATAGGCACTAAACCAACGAATGCCAGTCTCCCCTCTTCTTTCTCAAGGTCTCGTCAGCCCCACGAGCTGGTCACTCCATCTTCCCTGACACTGTCCTTTCTTGGCTTGTTATGTCTTGTGCACTCAAGTCCCTGCCCCCAGTCCCAGCTCCTCCTTCCGAATCCCTCTTCCTCTGCTCAGTCTCCATGCTGGGTGGGCCTCGGGCCCAACCCTATCATCACTCCCTTCACTCCTCTCAACTGGTCTAACAGCATCGGTGCCAAGCATATGTGGAGGGTTCTCAATTTCTACACCCCCCCGTAGTCCACACCCACTGAAGACCTGACCACTGCATGCTAACAGGCAACTCGGACACGGTCGAAGACAACATTGGGTTTTCTACATGGTGCCCCCCATCCTTCCAAGAGACCACGTGGTACCCTCGCTCAACTGGCCACTTCAGAGAAGCCTATTCCTCTTTTTCCTCTGGCCACTCTCCTATATTTGCTATTTTTCTGCCTTCACACAACTTTATCCACATCACAAACTGTCATGGGAGTAAGAAAGCCTTGTAACTGGCCCGTCTCCCCTGTCTTCCCATAACCCAGCCCCAGAGCACAGTCAAGGCGCCTCCCCATCCTGGACATCCTTCCTGGTCTGGGAAGCACCAAGCACTCTGTACTCCCTGCCCTTCTGAACGGAGATGCTGCCACCACATTTGACACGGCAGCTTCTTCTACGACTTTCACCTCCTAATTCAGATGCTGCCTTGGCACAAAGGCCTGAAACATGCCGTCCCCACGACCACTTGATTCTATCACCTCACACTCCGTAACAGTGTGTGTGCTCTGGCCTGCCCTCCTTTCCAGGACTCCATGAAGGCACCCAACAGCGTCTGGTACAAGGTAAAGGATTTTTTAAATGCTGAATAATCCATTGAGTATCTTACTGCATATTTTCTTAATTCTTCATAATTACATGGCCTAGCAGACCCCAAGCACACAAGGTGAACGCCATTAGTCACTGTTCAATTGGGAAGTAGAGACTACTTACGGAGCCCCACGGAGTCCGGTTTGCCATTATCGTTCTTGCTTGGCTGAACGAGAGGTGCAAACGAAACAGCAAGAATATTTTTACTTTCCCAAGTGTTCTGTCCAGTTCTCATAATCTGTGTTAACTATTTAGAGGGGGAAAAAAGAAAGAGAACAACTTAATCCTGGCAATGTGATTTTCTTACTGTCAATATGTTTGTATGTAACTAAATTACTTAGATTTAGTCACTATGAAGTAATACAGAAATAATCAAAAATATTTTTTCTTTAACATAGCTATTTCAATGCACATGGGATACCCAACTCTGGCCAGGTGAGTTCACGTTAGAGCTGAGGTCTGAGAGCTTCCAGGTGTGAACCCAATCCGTAGCTGTCACTGCCTGCCACAGCACACCCAAGATAGGCTCAACCCTTCGGTGAAGGCCTTTCATTAATAAACCACACACGGTTACTATTCGAAGTTGACTCCAGACTCTTCCATAATGACAATGAAATACAGATTCTAATTTTAACCTCTACTTGATATTTCACAATCAACACAGTTACAAAGACACCAGGAGTTTTACTAAAGCTATTACTAGTCCTGGGGGGTGGGAAGTATTGGCTTAGTATCTGGCCTGTTTAAAGTGAGCCACTATTTTCCACTTCTGTTATAAAAAGCAGCTCATTCTTGTATCTGATATTTGTATAGTAGTATAGAATGTTTAACAAAATACTGATGAGGAATATTTTAAACACCTGGAAACATATTATTGAAAGAAGAAAGTAGATTAAATGGGAGTATAAACCTTGGAAACATTCGAGTAACATTGTTCTGGAACATTCTTTAACAAATATTTTTATATTCTGCCTTTATAACTAACAATTTGCTACAGAGCACAGGGCATGGTAGTGACAGAATCCACTGAGCTGCAAGTGACATGTGATGTTAAGGGACCCAAGACATAACAGAAATGCCACCACTGGGGCCAGTAGATGGCGTAATGTTTATGTTACTGCACTCCCATGTAGTCGACCATGGTTTGGGTCCTGGACCCAGAAGCTTAAAAAACTCATGCAAGGGATGTGTGTGCGTGCATGCCCACAATTTTGAGAGGAGAACGGAGGAGGGACTGTGGCACGGCCAACCTCCCTGGGGATGATTTCTTGCTTTCTGTTTCTCTGGCAAGCGCATGCATCCTACAGCAAAAAAAAAAAAAAATCGCTCAAAAAAGAAAAGAAAGAAAAAAAAAAGAAAAAAAAAAAAAAATCGCTCAAAAAAGAAAAGAAAGAAAAAAAAAAGAAAAAAAAAAAAAAATCGCTCAAAAAAGAAAAGAAAGAAAGAAATGCTACCACTGCCATGCTGGGTCCCAGTCACCGCAGATAACCCACCTCTGCTGCACAAACAGCTGGTTCAAACAGCTCAGACTTAGGTCAACGTGTGTATAAAAGATCATACTTCTCTGAAATGCATCTTTATACATTTTCTACATAATGTATTTGCTTTTGAAACGTCCACCCATTTGCTGAATAAATTAATATTTCACACATTTATTACAACTAATCAACCAAGGCAAGAGAAAACTATTTAATAGCATTCATAAATAGCTGAAGAGTATTTTCAATGAGCCTATATAGTTTTGAATAAAGATTTAACCATTCACTTGTTTTATTAATGAAGTTAAGCAGTTAAAACCACGCCACAAGTAAGCTCAAAGAACTGAAGACTGCAGGAAACTGGGCAGCCAGTGGAGACCATGACACTCAGCTCAACTTCCTCCTGGTACGGACAGCCAAGAGGGCAGCTGCAGGCGGCCGCACAGGGAGTGGCCAAGTGCAGGCAACAGCACGCCCCACCTCTATTCCCGGTAGAGCAGTTCCCCACATCTGCTTTGTTTACATAATTGAGAGCATTTCAAGTTTTACCTACACAACAGATAAAATGACAGCACCCTTCGCACTGAGGAACATTCCCGAGCCTACCCTGCTGTGTTAGACAGCCGCACCCTAAGCAGAAGCCGGGCAGTTACCTGGTCCTCTATGGGCATGACTAAGATGCCCCCAACTTTTAACAGTATTTTCATGTAGTTCTCATGGTCTTTCTGGACTCCGGCTCCACAGTAAATTCGATCATACTGATGACTGTCAGAGGCTATCTGGAGGCAATTACCAACCACAAATGCAGGTTCACAGAACTCAAATCTGCATGGAAAAACAAATGCATTTTAACTCACGGAAATAAAACATTAGGTGTAAAAACTACTATAATCCAGCCCTCTGAATCAGTGAAGTCACCAAAATAATAGAGTAAAATATGATTGTGACATTTGCTTCAAATATTACATTTCTGACACTGAGCACCCATAAATGTATTGTTTTTCTATCACGGATATATGGTTCCTGTTTTAAAAACATTATTTTTGGTCAAACTAAAGTCTCACTAAGGCTTAAAAAATGAATATAATGAAAAGCCTATCACCACACAAGTTTGTGACTGCCCCCAAATGATTTATGTTGATGAGAGCATGAAGCCAACCAGTGTGATGAGCTGCTTTCCACCGTCCTTCCAGAACAGGCGAGGCCCAAGCGAGAAGGGCTCTGCGGCACTGTCTCAGTCTGGCTCTTTGCTGAGGGCAACAGTGGCAGAGTGTTGTCAAGAGAAGACACCCAGGGTCAGCAGGTGGCGTGGTGGTTAAGGCACTGGACTCCCACACAGTTGACTGTGGTTTGAGTCCTGGACATGGCGGCTTGTAAATCACACCAGGCCCATGTACACACATGGCCAAAATCCAGGGGGAGAGTGGAGAAGGGACCGTGGCATGGCCACTCCCCCGTAGGGTGTTTCTAACCTTCCCTGATTTCTCTCTCTGTCGCTCTCCAGGACCACACGAGCTCTATGACAGACCTTAAAAATAATAATAGTAAGATGCCAGTGTTCTGACCATGTACCTGTGAAACCACTACGACTGGGGAGTGCTTCCTAGCAGAGCTAGGCTGAGGATCACCACGAGACTGGGCGGGGAGCAAAACGAATGCTGTTCTTTCCGACTGCAGCTTTGGTCCCTCTGAGACCCAGATTCAGAACATTCAGAACAAGGCCGTTTCCCCAGGCGGCTCCTGGGCTGCTTGTTCCCGGTGACAGTGTGGGTTCACGGTTCATGGGTACAGGCTTTCACTAACTGTCCTACCTATTCAGACTCCTACTGTATTTAGTAAGTTCAGATCAACAAAACTGAAAACAAACCCTCGTGGTAACATATCATGAAAACTCTAATGTGCTAATAAGACATGTAATCTTTTTTCAATAATTAATATCCTTTCGCTTTTAAGTTGATTAGTTAATAGGACCACACAGCAAAATCTGGCTATTGTTTGGGGATAAAATAATTTACATGAAAAGCTTTGGCATACAGTGGAAAATGACACTGATTTGAGTCACACTCATTTTCACTTCATAAAGCATGTCCTCTGCTCCTCTGGTGATTAATAATAGACTTAGTGCATGGTAGGTTTCCATTACAACTCACTAAAACACAGGCTACCAACATATTTCGAGAGGAATTCACTAGAATTATGCCCTGTCCTTACGGTAGTCCGTGCGTCTTTTACCGGAACGGCCACCTGCCTGCTCAGATTTCTTGGGTCTCTCTTCCATTATTCTGCTTCCTACTGCAGGGTCGAGTCCGGGCTCCAAGGAGTGCCAGGCGGGGAACTTACTGCTCTGCCAGCAAGCTACCCTGCAGGCTTTCCTGGCTCTGCCCGGTCTGCACAATCTTCACTGCTATGACTCATTCACTCGTTCTACCTCCTTGCAGGAACCATTCTAACCTGTTTTGAAACCCTGGTATCTGTGTATGGGATGTTCTTTTGACTGAAATAACCTTCCATCTCCTCCTTCTCTTACTAAATGCCTGCTAATCCTTCAACATATGTTTGAATACCAGCTCTGCAATGAAATCGCACTCAACTCTCTAAAAGAGTCTCATTCTTTCTATCTGCATAGCACACACAGACGTGTAAACCTAACCTAGGTTAGGGACCAGAGTTGAGTTACTTTATACTGAAGACTATGACACACTCTCTGATTGTTTAAAATATTGCCAAAATGTAATTTCTTGGCTTTTAAGTAATTAGGTTCTAGAGATCACATGCTGCAACCAGTTTATCAAATTCATAGTAAGCAGTCTTCAAAAAGAAAAAAAAAAAAACCTATTTTCAATAAAGTCTACCTAAAGAGCTTCATTCCTACAAAAGACTATATTAAATGCTCTAATTTTTATAGTAATTTGCACCAATCTAATTTTCAGGATGAATGCAAGCAAAAACTTTAAATAATCAAACAATTTTGAATTATTAAACCTCTTTTATCATCAAGTCTGTTAAATCAACTCAAAATATGCTTACAGTTCTAAAAGCTTCCTATTAGTTAAGAATAAGTGGTACCTTACAGAGCTAGTACCACAGAAAATACCATCACAGAAAAACAGCTTGCAGTCAAAACCATTTCTCAGACTAGGTATTTTACACATTCTTATCACAGCAAACGGAGTGAGAATCTGGTGCCTGGCTAACACCTGAACCAACTCCCTCCCACCAGCAACTGCACAGTCCTTCAGCAGGCAGTGCTGACTTGGCTGTGCCTAATGCCTGGGGATGTGACGGTAAACACTCAAGCCTGCACTAGCCAAGGGACAAGGTCACACCACCCATTACCTGAGCTGTGACTTACACCTCTGATAAATGCTTTACAGAAAAGAACCTGAATTCCCAAGACTGAGGATGAAAGGAAACTGACAAGCCTGGTGATCAGAGAGAAGTTCCCTACAAAATGACAAGCTGCAATGTGAGAGGGGTCAGGACACAGAGTCACACTGTCCAATGCAGCCACTAGCCACATGAGGATATTGATCAAGCTCTGAAATGTAGCTAGTACAGGTCCAGCAGGTGGTGTGGGGGTTGAAGCAGGTGATGTAGGGGTTGAAGCGCTAGACTCCCACATAGTTGACTGCAGGTCAAGGCCTGAACCTGGGGTCTTGCTCACTCACTCTACTGCTCTCTCTCTTTCTCTGTTTCTTTCTGGTGAGCACATGTGCCCTACAGCAAATTAAAAAATAATAATAATAAATAAAATTAAATAATTCTTTGAAAAAAAATGTTGTTAGCTCAATTGTGCCATAAATATAAAATTCACATGGGTTTTCAACAACTTAGTATAAAAAAAAGATGTGAAATATCTTAATAACTCTTTAAAAAATACATCTTTTAGTGGTATCAGCAGGTAGTATGGTAGTTAAGGTGCTGGACTCCCACATGGCCATCCGTGGTTCGAATCCCAGGCCTGGAGGGCTGCTCGCTTGCTCTCTCTCTCTCCCTCCCTCCCTCTCTCTCTCTCTCTCCCTCTCTCTCAATGAATTAAATAATAATAAATAAAATTAAATACATCTTTTCATTTCAACAGAAAAAAGAAAATACTAAATTACCCTTCTAATTCTTACAAGTATGCAGGTGCTAATTAACACAATCTTTCTTTTGAAACATTGATCTGGTTTTCCTGCTATATCTCTGCATATTTCCTTGAATTCAATGGTACCTCCTTCTCCTATTATGGTCCTCAAAATACAACTGTTAAATAAGTTAACCATAAAAGAAATAAAATATATTTTATTGTAACTTTACCACATACCAACTTTAACAAGTTCCTGAATTTGGCAAGTTAAATACGCTAAACACAAAAGTCCCAGGGCTAAAAGAGACATGCGCATGGCAGGAAATCAGTCCAAAAGCAAGCATACACCCATGGCACTTTCTACAGTCACATGGTGGCTCACGTTTTACTAAACTGGTTACTATACTGGAATAACTGTAACGTCATGTTATGGAATATGGGTTTTTCCCCACCAAATATGCAAAAAAAAAAAGAGAAAAAAACAGTTAAAGCAATCTTTACTTTTAATGAGTAAGTGAGCTGTCCTATACCTAAAGACAATTTTTGGGTTGCTCTGAAGATCACAAGTAAGCCACCCTTATTATTATGATAATGAACTCAGTATTTCCCATCTGATGGAGCTCAGAAGAAGTACCATGGGGTCTCCAAAAAGCTCATGGGAAATGTGTATTATGGAAAAACTATGCGTGGATTTCAAACATTTTTGCAGCAAAATGAATTAGTACAATAATTCCATTTTTCCACCAACCTTTTAAAGTCCCCTCATATATCTATCTGAGGAGTACTACAAAGGACCACTGCAGAGAAAAATTATGTCTACACTGATAAACAATTTCTACTACTCCAAGTGAACTATATACTTCTAACAAATGCACCAAGGGCCTTTACAACTTATACTTAATTAAACTTTTCCTTTACCTGAATATTCAAATTTCCTTTACGGGCACACTCAAATATAAAAGTTTACTTAAATTTAAGAGAGTATTCCAAAAGGATGACTATTTTTCAAAATGAAAACAGTAAAAAAAAATTGAAGGACATAAAAGTAAAGTTAGGAGGAAAGGTATAACTTTAAATATCAGCACTAAAATACAGCAGAGAATTCATAAGACAAACACGAAACGGTGACACTGTCAGCTCAGTAGTTTTAAGAAAAATGACCACTAGAGACAGTGTCCCATCTGGGGATTATTTATACTAGTAAATATCGCTTAACTTTTTTCAAACATATTGCATGAAGCCTTCACATTATTTTTTTTTTTTTGGGGGGGGGGTGATTTTTTGTTGGGGGGGGGGTGATATAGGGCACTTGTGCTCGCCAGAAAGACAGAGACAGAGAGAAAGCGAGAAATCACCCCTCAGGGTGATGGCCACACCACAATCCCTTCTCCATTTTCCTCTTGGGATCTTGGGCCCACACGCACATACATCTGGCATGAGTTTAAGCCACCGAGTCCAGGAATCAAACCATGGTCGACTACATGGGAGTCCAGCAACATAGCCATTCCACCAACTGCTGGTCCCCACAATTAGCTTTTAAAACTCTTAAATCATACTTTCTTATGCTACTCTTAAAAATCTACAAGAAAGGAATGGAAGACAACTGTAGACACCAGAGATTGTGTGAGAAGAGTGTGGTAAAGGACAGAGGGTCAGAAATAGGGATTAAAAAAGAAAATATATATATATATATGAAACTAGAAATGGAAAATTTTTGATGATAACATGAATGATTAAGCCACTATGCAATATATTC